TTTTTAACCTGAGAACAACTCTCTGGGTCTTCTTCAATCTATTCATTCACATGAAAAAAAAATCTAAGGCCATGAGGGCCAACACAGTAAATCATAGTTAACTATGCATGTGATAACCGTGACCAATGTATTAGTATGCCTGACTAGCATAAGTTAACAATTAAACCAGGAGCTGCTGTTCTTCCACCAGCTTCCCTATCAGGAAATAATGTATGGAAATGGAACAAAGATGACTTATTCATTCCAAATTCATGATACTAACAGTGAAATTCAACCACAAGACACTTGTATATTTAACCCAGGATAACCCTGTAAAGTCAAACAATATGACTTAATTCCATGGGTTTTTGGGGGTATTAAAACTCTGAAACAATTGTAATATTTTGAATATTCTTTGTACATAGCATTAATACCAATAGAGTAAAAAAACAAATACGCAGAATAAAAAAAATTATACCATACATTCCAAGTTGAGCATTGGTGGGTTAAGTATTTCTTTACATAGATAAATGGTTCAGAGAGCCATCAAGTTGATAAATTAAAATATGTGCAACACTTGGGTATTTTTACTGAGGAAATGTTGTGCCATGCAGTGGCTTCACCAAGCCTATACAATGAAGAATGGTAATTATCAGATCTTTACCATTCTTTTTTGTATAGGACTGATGAGGCCCCTGCGTGGCAAAACGTTTCCCCAATAAAGATACCCAAGTGTTGCCCATGTGTCTAATTTATCAGCATTTCCTTATGTTTGAGGTTCTAAAACATCTAATATCATAAGAAACTAGTATTGTAGTGTTAAAAATTAATATATTATTATTATTAGGGAGGGTCCCAAAACCCTAGGGATTATAAAGCACTGTTGGGGGTGTGGGATCAGGGCATTGGATTAAAAAAACAAAAACAGAAAAAAAAAATCATTGTTGGTGTCAATAAATTGAAAAATGTAAATGTGTTTGTGAACACTAATCAGTTGAGGTCGACGACCCAAATGATTTCTTCGGGAATGAGCTAAAAATTTCCCATAAATGTTGCCAGTTTCCGACATTCCCCTACCCCGATAGTTTTCAAAAAAAGCCTTTGGGAAACATGCCCTGCATTTCAGCCCCAGGCCAGACTCGTGGAACTTTTTTCATAAAACGCGGGAAACCCCCTCCCCGGCTCAAGTACATATGGGGGAGGGCTTGGACATGGGGAAATTCCACGTACTTAAAACAACGGATATAGCCCCACTCCATAAAAGGGGGCAGAAAGATTAGCTAAGGGAAAATAGACCAATTGCTCTGGGAAACCCACAAAAAATCTTTGAAAGAGTGCTAAGCAGGGTTGAAAATTTACCCGGATTCCCAAAAATTTTCCAAACAGGGAAATGTGTTCGGGCAGGTGCTCCTGCCCCTCACAACACTGGTATATATATGGCCTTGGAGCACTGGAAGAAAACAGAATGCAGATGTAATATACACGACTTTGCAAAAGCTTTGACAAAAACGATCTGGGTAAAAACCCTAAAAACGTGCTAAAGGAATAACTGGGAAAGTGGGGGGAAAGGATCTTCAATTCCTACAAACGAAAACAAAAAGGGAGTGGTCAAAAGAGTTTAAAATTGGGGCTGCCCTGTGAAGAGCTCTGTTCCCAAGGCCCGTACTCGCCCCCTTTTTATTCCTATCCTCATATCAGGGCAAGGAGATATATTTCCAGCACCCTATCTCCTTTTCGGACGTCTAGGGGTCTGCTGAGGCTGTCATCGCTGGGACGCGGTTAACCTCCCAAAAAGATAAAACAAAATTTTTTCCCGTGGGCAATAGTAAAAAAAATATGAGTTCAATGGAACAAATTCCAATACTCGTTATGGAAAAATGGAGGAGAAATAATAGAACAGGTATTAAAAATGGCCTACAATAGAGCGGAAAAAAAAAGTAAGGGACCTGGGAGTAGTAATGTCTGAGGATCTCACTTTCAAGGATCACAACAGTGCCACGATCGCACGTGCAAAGAAAATGATAGGATGGATAATGAGAACGTTCAAAACGAGAGATGCCAAGCCAATGATGATCCTTTTCAAATCACTCGTTCTCTCTAGGCTGGAATACTGCTGTACATTAACATCTCCATTCAAAGCAGGTGAAATCACAGATCTAGAGAGTGTACAGAGATCCTTTACTGCACGTACAAGTTCTGTCAAGCACCTTAATTACTGGGAACGCTTGGAAGCACTTGACTTGTACTCGTTGGAATTCAGGAGGGAGAGATGTATCATAATCTACACTTGGAAAATCCTGGAAGGAATGGTCCCAAATCTGCACACAGAAATCCCTCCCTACGAAAGTAAAAGACTGGGCAGGCAATGCAAAATGCCCCCAATTAAAAGTAGGGGCGCCATTGGTACACAAAGGGAAAACACCATAAGTGTCCGGGGCCCAAGATTGTTCAACAGCCTCCCATCAAGCATTAGGGGAATTGCCAATAAACCCCTGGCTGCCTTCAAGAGAGAGCTGGACAAATACCTAAAGTCAGTGCCGGATCAACCAGGCTGTGGCTCATACGTTGGACTGCGTGCGGCCAGCAGTAACAGCCTAGTTGATCAGGCCCTGATTCATCAGGCGGCCTGGTCATGGACATGGCCGCGAGGGCGTTGATCCCCAGAATAACCTCCAGGTAACACTACTGTTGTCAATGAACGATAATTTTTTCACCAACTTCAACACATTATCAAATCATGTGTTTTTATCAGATTCCACTAATGTTAGTCTTATTCGATTCAGAAAAAATCGCTTTCATTCTATAAGAATAAAGATTTTTTATTTTTCAAAATCTTCCCACACACAGGAATTTTTTATCTAGGGGTTATGCCACAGCTTAAGGGTTAAACAAATAAACACCAGACCTCAGGTCACAGGGCAAAGATGCACTTTAAAACCATTCCAATATTAGACTGATTAGTCAACACGAATTGAAAGTTAATCAGTGGAAAGAAGTTTTTAGTATATTGTACAAGGCTCTATTTTTTATTATTTATTAACACATCAGCCAATTCCCACCATGGCAGGGTGGCATAAAAAAGAAAAACTTTCATCATCATTCACTCCATCAGTCTTGCCAGAGGGGTGCTTTACACTACGGTTTATAAAACTGCAACATTAACACCCCTCCTTCAGAGTGCAGACACTGCACTTTCCATCTCCAGGACTCAAGTCCGGCCTGCCAGGGTCCCTGGTCATGATGACGTACAGGGCAATGAACAGGCAGACACTACTGCGCGGTCAGCAGTACATGACCTACCATTTTCATAAAGAGGTGTTCCATTTCCAGATTATTTTGCTGTAATAGCTACCCACCTTCACACCCGTTGGCAACAACATTGGTCAACTTTACTCGGTAACAAACTTCATTCTATTAAACCGAGCATAGGTTACTGGCCGCCTTCTCGTCATCAGTGCCGAGGTTGGGAGACTACTCTCTCCCGCCTTCGCATTGGCCACACTCGTCTTACTCATGGGTATCTCATGTAGAGGCACCCTGTTCCTCTCTGTGAGCAGTGTCAAGTTCCAGTATCGATTAGCCACATTCGGTTAGACTGCCCTCTCTATCAACGAGCACGCAGAATTTACCTCCAACGTCATCTCCGCTCTACTACTCTCTCTTTACCTTCCCTTCTTGCTGATGGACCCTCCTTTAATCCTGACTCTCTCATTGACTTCTTGACAACAACTGATTTACTCCACAAACTCTGGTGATGATACCTTTTGCACTCCCCTCAGCCCTTTCTACCTCAATCTCTTGCTGCCCTCTACCCTTTCACCATCCACTGCCTCGCTGTTCTCTGTAACCTATTACTCATCCATCTCCCTTTTGCCACCTGATACCCTCGCTTCCTTCCTGCCCTGCAGCGCTGTATAGCCCTTGTGGCTTAGCGCTTTCTTTTTGATTATAATAATAATAATAATCTATATGTCCGAACCACCTCAACAACCCTTCCTCAGCCCTCTGGACAACAGTTTCGGCAATCCCGCACCTCCTCCTAACTTCCAAACTACGAATTCTCTGCATTATATTCACACCACACATTGCATACATTCCCCTCTTTGCTTCCAAGGACAAAGTTCTGTCTCCAAAGACTACTAAGTGCACCGCTCACCCTTTTCCCCTCATCAATTCTATGATTCACCTCATCTTTCATAAACCTATCTGCTGACATGTCCACTCCTAAATATCTGAATACAGTGGACCCCCGCATAACGATTACCTCCGAATCACCATTATTAAGTGTATTATGTAATGCATTTTACGTGTAGTTTGGTCTGAAATGACTATCTATTCACATATTTCTTATGGGACAAATTCGGTCAGTACTGGCACCTTGAACATATTTTGATGAAAATATGTTTAACCGGGTATGTACATTTCACTTCCTCATACTTCTCCCAGATTCCCTATAAGTAAAAATCCTAATTTAAGCTTAAATTCTTGTATACTATTTATGGGCTGATTAATGCTGAACTGATGCCTTAATTTTTATGCTTTCGATTTGTTCCCATATGTCGAGGATCCGAGGAAACCTATTCTAAGCCAAATTTATACCATGGAAGTGCAACTGCAAGTCATACAGTGCCTGGACAGAATATTCGCTACCTGAGAATGAGAGTACTCCAATTCTATAAATCAAGAGCTCTTCTTTGGAGGGGTAACCAATCCTTGAATCAAGATCCCTTCAGTAGCATCAAGGTACTATCCCTGAAGGAAGCAAAAACCTAGAGATTTAATCTCTCTATATTCTCTCCTTAGCTTTATTTCACCGAGTCTCCAATATACTGTATCAATTAAAAAAAATCTTTCTAGTGACAGTGCTAGCAGAGGGAAGATTTTTAAATCTAAACTCAATAACTGTGATGAACATTACAATTATGGCTCACAATATTTTATTATTAAGCTGTAAAAGAGTATTTAAAACATTAATCAAGAAGTAGCATGAAGGTACTACATCTGGATTAAAAGTTAAGGCATCTGTAGTAACATTTTTATTAGGGCCTGAACAATGAATTGTCAAATAAATTTGTAATAATATATACACAATTCTTCTTATTCTTTTTAGTAATCTTTACAGGAAAAGGGGTTACTAGCCCATTGTTCCCGGCATTTTAGTTGACTTTTACAACACGCATGGCTTACGGAGGAAAGATTCTTATTCCACTTCCCCATGGATATAAAAGGAAAAGTAATAAGACCAAGAACTATTAAGATAAAATCAAAGAAAACTCAGATGAGTGTGAATAAATAAATGTGTACATGTATGTGTAGTGTGACCTAAGTGTAAGTAGAAGTAGCAAGACATACCTGTAATCCTGCATATTTATGAGACAGACAAAAGACATCAGCAATCCTACTATCATGTAAAACAATTACAGGCTTTCGTTTTACACTCACTTGGCAGGACGGTAGTACCTCCCTGGGTGGTTGCTGTCTACCAACCTACTACCACATATTGGCAGTTTGGAGGGATATGTTGTGTATCTTTATATGTGTATGCTTCTAAACTGTTGTATTCTGAGCACCTCTGCAAAAACAGTGATAATGTGTGAGTGTGGTGAAAGTGTTGAATGATGATGAAAGTATTTTTCTTTTTGGGGATTTTCTTTCTTTTTTGGGTCACCCTGCCTCGGTGGGAGACGGCCGAATTGTTGAAAAAAAAAAAAAAAAAAAAAAAAAAAATATACACAACAAATCTTACGTGAACTATGAATACCAAGTCAAGAAAAACTTCTTTTCCCAAATACAATGATATGCTGTTACACATTAAAATTTCCACAAAAAAATTTAGAAACTACAAAAACTGGTAGTTTGCAGTAAAATTAAGGTAAATTATAATAATTAAACATTATAATTTAACATGAAATAATTTTTGGACAGACTTCATGGTCTGTGGTGCAAGGGGAAAAAATTATCTTCTGCTAGCAGAACCCAGACCTCTCTTTCCAGCAAAGAGATGCTTAGGTTTAAGATTATAGACATGACGATCAGCTTCACCCTTGCGACCATCTCTGTTTAATTGCGACTGTGCCTTGCGTCCAATGGTCTTCATCTTCTTGGCCATCTGTTGGCAGAAACAACAAATAAATAAATAAATAAAAAAATGCACTTCTGATAATGAAGATTTTTGTGAATATTTTGTTTAAATCCTAAGTTCACATAAGACTGCAGAGTACCCATGTAGGAAAAATTAAGTATGATATCTCTATACGAAGACAACAGTACAACATATGTTAGGTGTAAGAACTTAAAAAAAATACAGCGGTACCTCGAATTTCGGCCGAAATTCGTTCCAGAAGGCTATTCGAGTGCCGTTATCAAACAACTTTGTTCCCATAAGGAATAATGTAAATTAGATTAGTGCATTTCAGACCCCCAAAAATACACTTTCAAAAATACACTTACATCATTGTTCAAGTGGGAGCTGTTCGAAATTCGAAGTACCACTGTATATATATGATATACCATATAAAAAATATGATTACCTTTGCATCTCTTACTCCTGACTGGTCACGAGGAGTTTTGGAACTAGACCGCACTCTACCCTCTGAGTCTACACGAGCTTTCTTAAGTGGAGGACGTGACCTTGATACACTCTTGGTGCGTGTGAAGTGGCAACCATCCACATCAGACATATCCACTCCCAATTCTTCAAACTCTGATCTCAGACGAGATACAGATCTCTCGCGTTTCCTAGAGACACGTGGCATTACAGCTTTACCTTTAGGCCTATCAATTCTAGCATTTATTGCATTAATAATCTTCTTTTCACGGATTTTTTGAGCTAGTCTGTGGATTTCTTTCATCTCCTCATCCTCTTCTTCCACTTCCACAACATAGAAACCATTTTTTTCACGGGCTTCTTCTTCTGCTTCAAGTTCTTCCAGTTTCTATTTGGGAATAATGAATAAATAATAATATATGTATTTTATTATGTGTAGTAAGTTGCACATTTTTTAATTCCATTTTTATCATATCACATTTAAATATTTCAAAACCTTCAAAGTTTTTGTTGCCTTGTCACTATGACCATATTGCATTTTTTTTTTTTACAACATTAATCAGTATATAATGGCTAGAATAGTCTGTCTGTCTCCCCAAAAATCTCAGAATCAGAGAAATATGTATTTTCCAACATACATTTCAGCTGAATGAAAGACTCCTATACTAACAGTGTGACCATAACAAACACACTTTCACTGGTGTCTAATTTGTGTTTGCCAGTGTCACTCTTCCAATTTTTTGACAAGAGATTCATACAGTTCAAACGCTCTTTTGAAAAATACAAATACTCATCTTGTAACGAGTCTTTGGGAAGGAAGACAAATATCCTCGTGCAGTATACAAGCATACCTCTCTAATATGATGGGTTAGGTTCTAGAAAAATCACTGTAAAGCAAATATGGCCTTAAAGAGAATCACAACCTTTTTTTCCACTTGTCAATGCATGTAAAAGCCTAAAAATGTGTTTACACAATCAATTATTAAGTGCACAATAGCACTAGGCCTAAAAAAAAAAAAGATGCAAAAGTAAAATATAAAAAAAAAAAAAAAAATGCCACAGTACTGTATTACTATACAGACTGAGCGTAGGTACAAAATGGCCCCAAAAAATAATAAACATGAATTCAAAAGTGCCCTATTAGCAAACAGCTCTAAAGCAAGTTATGCCTGTACTTTAATCAGACATAAAAAAAATGAACTATTTATTTACTCACTTTCATGATGTCTGGATCAATAAAATCAGCCACATTGTATCCATCTACAATATGGGGAATCTTGTCATATTTCCATTCATCATTCTCAAGATCTTTATTTTTGTTAAGGTCAAGACTGTAATCATCCATCAATTCCTCCTCCAAATCCCTCTCAAATTTCTTTTTGGGTTTAGCTGCTTCTGACTTCTTCTGATTAACCTTTTCTAGTGATTTAAAAATAAAAAATTAATTGAAAGTTATAAGATTTTAATAACTTTACACTGTTACACAACCTGAGGCCACACTTCAATGTAAACTGCTTGAGTCAATGTAAACTGTTGAGCCTGCAGTTCAACATTACTATCACAACTAAGCAGGGCCTTGTTAACCCATTTACTGTGGCATACCCAGATTTAAAAAAGAAAACTGAGCAAGGGGGGATGGGGGACAAAAAAAAAATATAAAATGAAAGAGCACATTTCATGAATTAAGAAGAAAAATTAGTGGAATCTGATTAAAAACATGTGCTTTTATGAGATGTTGAAGGTGGTGAAAAATTATCACTCGTTGGCAACAGTGGTATAAATGCACCAATGATATTTACATTTTACAATTTGCTAATGTTATGCTTTTTTATTTTCAGTTTCTGAGTTGTTTTCAATGTTTATCTGATATGTTTCAATGTGTTTTAGCACTTCAAACATGGGGCAATGCTTAGCCAAACATTGATCCAAATAGAATATACAGTATAAATTGGTGCAAATACATGTAATTATTTATTTATTTTTTACCACTTTGGTCTTCTAACACTATGTATAAGGAATACTTATGGTATTAACTGTTTCAAGGTGTAATACTCCTCAAAACACAGAAATAAATCAGTTTGACTATTTCATTATCCTAGGTTAATTATTTCTTTCTTTCAACAAACCTGCCGTATCCCACCGAGGTGGGGTGGCCCAAAAGGAAAAATGAAAGTTTCTCCTTTTACATTTAGTAATATATACTGGAGAAGGGGTTACTAGCCCCTTGCTCCCAGCATTTTTGTCGCCTCTTAAGACACGTATGCCTAAATTCTAGCGCCCTCAAATCTAGTGAAATCAAGCTGGTAGGCCAACATATGAAAGAATGGGTCTATGTGTGCGGTATAAAAAAAAATCTTGCAGCACACAAGTGAGTAATGAGAAAAAAAACTTTCACCATGTTTTTGGATTAAAACAGCAACTTTGCACTGTATTTTCATATGGTATTTATTGTTGTATTCTAGTTTTCCTGGTCTCATTTTATAGAATGGAAGACATATTACAGAAATTGAGATGATTTTCACTGGTTTTACAAAGAAAAGTACCTTGAAAATGAGCTCAAAGTAGCAGAAATGTTCAATTTTTACCAAAGTTCAAAAGTAAACAAATCATGCTAAGCATCCAATACACGTCAACTGATGAGTCTCATTCTTTTACAAGTGCGCCGATATTATTTATACCATTTCTACACTAATGCAGTAGTCTGCATAACAGTAAATCTTCTATTTTTTTGGGAGAATAAAAATTCAAAATGGAAAGCAAAAGAATGTAAGAGGGGCGTGGGGACTAATGAACAGAGGAAATGTTATTTTAGTGCCAGGAATGTCTTTCTTGTTTATTCTGGACCCTATTTGGAAATTGGCATCTTTTGAAATTTGTGTGAAATTGGCAAAATTGCTAAATTCTGAGCACTGTATTGGATAGTTGAAATCGGTAAACTGGTGGTTTCTTGTACTCATTCAATAGAAAAAATGGAGTTCTAGCGAAATAGTTACGATTTTTGTAGACTAGTACATTGGAATTGGCTGAAAATAGGGCTCAAAGTGGGCAAAATCGCCGCTGCGTACACATCATCGAGACCGCTAACTTCGCAAGAGCATAATTCCGTAAGTTTTCCATCAAATTTCATACTTTTGGTGTCATTATGATCGGGAAAAGATTCTCTATCTTTTCATAAAAAATATTTTTTTTTTTTTAAATTTGGAGGACCCTGGGAACAAGTCAGAGAGCCTGTGGACCCTGAAAGGGTTAATATATAGGTCTTAGACAGGGATGTGTAATGTCACCATGGTTGTTTATTTATAGATGGGGTTGTAAAATAAGTAAATGCTAGGGTGTTCAGGAGAGGGGTGGGATTAAATTATGGGGAATCAAATACAAAATGGGAATTGACACAGTTGCTTTTTGCTGATGATACTGTGCTTATGGGAGATTCTAAAGAAAAATTGCAAAGGTTAGTGGATGAGTTTGGGAGTGTATGCAAAGGCAGAGAGCTGAAAGTGAACATAGAAAAGAGTAAAGTGATGAGGGTATCAAATGATTTAGATAAAGAAAAATTGGATATCAAATTTGGGAGGAGTAGTATGGAAGAAGTGAATGTTTTCAGATACTTGGGAGTTGACGTGTCAGCGGATGGATTTAAGAAGGATGAGGTTAATCATATAGGTAGTAGGTTGGTAGACAGCAACCGCACAGGGAGGTACTACTGTCCTGCCAAGTAAGTGTAAAACGAAAGCCTGTAATTGTTTTACATGATGGTAGGATTGCTGGTGTCCTTTTTCCTGTCTCATGAACATGCAAGATTTCAGGTACGTCTTGCTACTTCTACTTACACTTAGGTCATACTACACATACATGTACAAGCATATATATACACACCCCTCTGGGTTTTCTATTTTCTTTTTAGTTCTTGTTCTTGTTTATTTCCTCTTACCTCCATGGGGAAGTGGAACAGAATTCTTCCTCCATAAGCCATGCGTGTTGTAAGAGGCGACTAAAATACCGGGAGCAAGGGGCTAGTAACCCCTTCTCCTGTACATTACTAAATGTAAAAGGAGAAACTTTCATTTTTCCTTTTGGGCCACCCCGCCTCGGTGGGATACGGCTGGTGTGTTGAAAGAAAGAAGTCATCTTTGAGCTACTTGCACACACTGTTTGCTGGCAGGGAAGCTGATGGTAGAACAACAGCTCCCGGTTCCTTCATTTACTTTTGCTAATGAGGCAAACTAGTATATGAGACACAGTTATCCTGAGTAGTTATCCATGATACTTTGTGTGGACCCTGCTGGCCTTAAATTTTTTCAAATGTATGAATAGATGGAAAAAGACACAAAGAGTGGTCCTGAGGTAAAAAGAAAACATTATCAGGTGGGAGATTAATTATTAAAAAAAAAGATGCATACTAGTTTGGTCAGACACAGTACCACCACCTGCATACTAGTGTGTCAGACACAGTTAAAGGGTTAAAAACAAGTGCAATATAAACACAGTCAGCACTCCAGATAATACAGCAGCCTTCCTTTTGTTCACTAATCATTGCCCAAGGCCTCTCCTGTATAACACTTACCCTTCATTTTGAATCCTTATCACACAGAAAACTGAAGTTTTGCATTATTTCTTCCCTAAGACCCAAGAATGAGTTATCATGGTTTATGTCATCCAAATGATTGAAGCAGACTTAATCTTAACAAAAACTCATAAAGCAGACCTGAGGGAAACGGGAGGTCATCTACCCTTCCTCAGGAAAATTTCCAAAAATCAAATATTTCTACTTTCAGGAATATTTCATGCCACTTCCTTTCTCAAACTGACCAAAATCATCTTCATTTCACTAGTATGTCTTCCGGTCTTTTAAATGTCACTAAAATACAGCCAATCAATCTAGTAAAACAAATCTATAAAACAGCTCAAAGTCACTATTTTAATCAAAATACAGGGTCAGAGATTCACTGTTCCTATCACACAATGAATGGAGCAAAATTCTTTTATGTTGCATAGTGACTGCACATACCCATTCTCTCAGATCTAGGCCTAAATTTGTCAATCAAAGCATATCTGAGGTTATTATGATTAAGATGTATTTTTACATCAGTGATGCTGGCAGATAACCTTTAAAATAAAAAAAAATATAAAACTACAGCAATTAAGTTTTATTCTTTGGATCACAGACAAGAGAATCTCATTATTTATAATGGATGAAAGGAAATACTGATGGTTAGGTTAGGTAAGGTTTGTTAGGAAACAGGACAAGTGTTTCCCGATGCAAGTCTTAGTCAGATGATGACCCGCCGTTGGAGATTTTGGTCATCTGACCGAGGCCTTCCACTGCCTTACCGGTCCATCCCTTTAAAAATTATGGTGACAGCATAGAAATATACATAAAAACGAAAGGCGCCACAGATACACTAAAAAACACTGCATCAATATCAGAGGTCCACTCTTTAACATGCCAACTAATAAATGTAATTACGTACTGGAACAGTTAAAGGATCTCGGAAGACTTTTTATTTACAACTTTTACCTGATCAGCTGTTATGATAATTATGTAGGCTTGTGGGTCACAAACAAACCACAGGAATGCCTATTAAAACCTTCAAGTCTCTGATACTACCCCCCCCATCCCCCCATTTTAAGCTGCTAAATATGAGTGGCTAGCTCAGTATTTTAGTTTTACCCCTTGGTATTTATGATGAAATTTCATCAGGTCCTGATGTCTTTCAAGCGTAATGCTCCAGTACTAACCTATTCACTTCCTCATCATTTCTTTCGCAGCCTCACAGTTCTGTTTGGTATGCCCTCCCCTCACAATGTACATTAGTATTTTTGTTTTCACTTTAACCTGCCAAACTTGGTACATAGATATGCACTGAAAATTGGGGTACCTTTACTGACTCACGAGAAAAAAAAATTAAATCAAAGTATGGCAATGGCCCATTTATACTTTAAATATTTTTCTATAAAAAGTTCACTTACCAGGAATAAAAGGTTCTCTTATTTTCTGATCTCTCTGTGCAGGCATGGCTACATGAACACGGTTGAGAATAGAATCAGCCTTTCTTGTACGCATCTTTGCATCCACTCTCTTTGCCAATAGGCGGTCACAAGCCTAAAACATATCAACAATTAATGTGAACTTCATACAATATTTTTCTTCATCCTCTCTGAAAAATTGAATAGTGAATAATTCACTGGAAATTATGTATGACTGCCATGACAACTTAGGATGAACTGAAAAAGAGCAAAAAATGAATGATGGACTATTATGAAAAAGTGTCATATAATGTGTGATCTCTCACAGTTTATACTAATACATACAAATATACAGCCTCTCCTCACTTAGCAATGTACTCGTTTATCAACGACTCAGACTGATGACAGGCTCTCTACCTATATGCATACCTAAATAATATAGTATAGTAGGCTGGCAGACAGCAACCACCCAGGGAGGTACTACCGTCCTGCCAAGTGAGCGTAAAACGAAAGCCTGTAATTGTTTTACATGATGGTAAGATTGCTGGTGTCCATTTTTCTGTCTCATGAACATGCAAGGTTTCAGGTATGTTTTGCTACTTCTACTTACACTTAGGTCACACTACACATACATGTACAAGCATATATATACATACATACCCCTCTGGGTTTTCTTCTATTTTCTTTCTAGTTCTTGTTCTTGTTTATTTCCTCTTATCTCCATGGGGGAATGGAACAGAATTCTTCCTCCTTAAGCCATGCGTGTCGTAAGAGGCGACTAAAATGCCGGGAGCAAGGGGCTAGTAACCCCTTCTCCTGTATATATTACTAAATGTAAAAATAGAAACTTTCACTTTAGAAACTTTCGTTTTACCTTTTGGGCCACCCCGCCTCGGTGGGATATGGCCGGTGTGTTGAAAGAAAGAAAGATTACAGCTGATTTCTTCTATTCTCTTCATTACAATATACAGTACACTACTGTATAAATGTTTAAAAATATATCAGAAATGTTATAAATGGTGCAAAAGTGACATCAAAACAATATCAAAGATGGTTGACACAAATCCACTATCATTATAGTATGCCCCTCACTTAGCGATGAATTCATTTACTGATAGTCTTAAGAACGAACTCCGTCGTTAAGTGAGGAGAGGCCGTGTATAGTAAATTACAGCTTTCAAGATTCAACATGGTATAACTACCAGTAATTCTTGACAATTGTAAACTAAAAAAAATACATTAATAAAAAAATGACTAACAGCACAAAACTAAATGTAACTGTTAAACATTAACCAATTTTTTTTTTACATATAAGTAAATATGAATAATTTCAAGTCAAAGAGAATGTAACGCTGTTGGTATTCACTGTATTCAGTTCTTTCTATTTTGTATTTTTCTAACTATTTTTCACATCACTACAGAAAATTACATACTTCAAAATATAATAAATACAGTAATGTAAATAACAAAAAAAGGCACTATACCGTGACTGGAATGATACACAAATAACCCGCACTTAGAAGAGAGGAGCCTACGACAATGTTTCGGTCTGACTTGGACCATTTACAAAGTCACACTGACTTTGTAAATGGTCCAAATCGGACCGTAACGTCATCGTAGGCTCCTCTCTTCTATGCGCGGGTTATCTGAATACGGTAATGTGTAACGTTAGCAGAAGTTTAGCAGGGAGCTCAATAGCTTCACATGAGGTGCCAGTTAGGTTAACAAAAATATTCATCACAGATAAGAAATTTATGAGCTACAAACAATTGCAATGCAGCCACTAATCCTTACCTCCTTCTTGACTTCCATTACACCTTCTTGTGATAAAGTTGACATTTCCATGACTGGAATATTCTCACGCTCCAGTGCAGCAATCAGTTCCCTTTTTTCAGGGTACTTTTCCTCCAATCCCTCTAAACTCATGATATCTATTTTGTTGCATGCCACCAATAAAGGCTGAAATAATGGAGAATGCACAACTGTTATAATTTCTATGAATGTTTTATGCCAACCACTAACATTTAATTGCTAAAAGTTAAAAAAAAAAAACTGAAAAGCAAATCAATTATCTGAATGCATTACTGCCACCATTATTAGAAATTCAGAAATTAACAATAACATGAACATCCCAAATAGGGACTTAAGAGTAATGTGGGATTTAAACCCTGGGCTGGCTTAAAAAACACAAGCTTGTTCAAACTCAGTTTAAATGCCATAAAATGAAGGATTTTTTTTTTTAATTTCTAAAGAATTCCACATGCAGATTTGGTTATAACAATAACCACCTACAATGAAAGACAAGAATAAGGAAAACATGCACAAGTGAGAAAACACATGAGAACAAACAAGAAAAAAATAAACTACTGAAGACTGTACTGTACTTGCATGAAAATAGAGCACAACAAATGTTCCTGCAATAAAAGTACAGCTGAAAAAATAATGACCACTGACAGGAGTAGTGTACCCAATTTACCTTTACCCTCCCCAAGTAGCAATGAAGTGTGTTGCTGCACACCTCATCAAAATACACTATATGATAACAATTTCAATCACTGACCTTTTCACGATCACTTATGACATACTATTGTTTTAAAGTGTGAGAGTGCAAGTTTAGTTTCTAAGCTCATAGAAAAACTAAGAATAATTTTAGCAGGAGGTATTAGTCATAAAAAAAAAAAAAAATATTTTAAACCGTTACCTTGTTTGCAAACAGTGGCTTTATGCTATCAAAAATTTTCATTTGTTGCTCAATCTGTATATCACACGTTTCAGAGATATCCAAGAAGAAAATGACAGCTGCACGAATATGTGCCAATGCTGTAATGGCCTGCAATTCTATGGTATTCATTTCATCAAATGGACGGTCTAACACTCCAGGGGTATCAATAACCTGAAATTGGTAATGTAAGACAACTTGGGTAACACAAGAGTATAATATATTACATTTCCTTGTTTACAAATGTTTTATAACTAACTTTCACATTTTTTATAAGGACTACATAAACTAAGTCTGTATACAGCATTTTCATCTAAATACATATACATGTATATATATGCAGTGCCATCAATAAATAATCCAACTAACCTGCCACCTGAGATATTCATAGTCCGTGTGGCCAACATAGAGAGACTTGGTGGTAAAGGCATATGGCTGAACCTCCACATCAGCACGAGTTATAAGATTGATAAATGATGACTTTCCTGATAAGAAATAGAATACAACCTGATAATTTTTTCAATGAAGTTTATTTACTATTCAAGAAACATACATACTCTACGTTACTAGCCATAAGTCGACCCAGGGCATAAACTAGGAATTGACAACGGGGGTACTTTCACTACAATCAGATTTTTTCTACTAGTGAAAAAGTAGATGGCCAAGAAAATGCAGACAGCTGAGATGTAAATGGCTTCTACAGTTATCAGACACTATTTCTTAAGATCATATTCATCACATATCCATACCACTAAGATGCCAGACTCACCCTTCTATACCAGTTCATGTGCAAAATACTGCATTAAACTTTGTACATAAATACAATAACTAGTGGATTTCTAAGGCCTATATAAAAAAAAAAGTTTAGCATTTCTCAGTAAAATTCAATGCAGTCATTAAAATCTCCTGTACTTACCAGCATTAGGACAGCCACACAGCAGTAGTGATCGAGTATTAGGATCAATTGATGGAAGCCTTGAAATGTGCTGTCTTACTTCCTCAAGATACTTTAGTGGTGGTCCTTGTTTCTTCATTATTGTGGCCATTCGTCCCAAGGCACTTTTCTTTAGCTGCTTACACCTGTAGAGTGAATCACCATACTTGAGGAGCTTAACATAGTCACTTGCAACTTTGTCTATAAGATGCCTGGCCATATTTATTTGACCCAGGGAAAGCTTGTAGTGGTCCTTATTGTACAATGTGTTCAACAGGTCAGCATAAAAAGGATGCAAGTCCTGAAAAGTTAAAATAACATCTTAGAATAAAAATAATTTATAGAAATTTAAAAACAATGATAGTGAAGCATAAAACAGCAACACTCAAACAGGTGCTCAGTTCTTACTTCAAAGATCATTTACTGAACACTGAGCAATTTAAAAATCATTTTTTTTTTAGATCTAGGCTTTAAGTAATACTAAATGTATCCAACATTTAAACTAAAGCCATGAACAATCATTACCAAAGGTTATAATGAAAACTTGAGGTGGTTTGATATTATCAATCCACTAATGCATCACAACACTTCCTTTCCCCTCTCAATACTAGACAGAGATATATGCCCTACTACTACAAGACTGTCACCATAATATTTGGCACAGTACACAAATCTTCTAAGATAGTCTCAAACCATGCCTCCTAAGTTGGAAAGTAAACATTACAGAGGTTTGAACTATCAATATAATGAAAAACACAAAGATAAGTGTAATGCAAGTAAAAGTCTAACATTTACCTATCTTACATGTTCATGAGACAGAAAGAAAAGACCAGCAGGCCTGCAAAAGTGCAAAACATTTAAAAAGGCTCCCATTTTACATATGACAGGATGAAATTACCTCTCTGAATGGTTGCTATCAACTTACTGAGTAAAATGAAACAAAGAATTGGACATATGTACTGTACCTCTAATTTCGGGAACTCGGTAACAATTGCAGTAAGCTTGTCATGGAAACTCTGTTGTGTATATTTTACTTTCGTCATGTAGAAACGACGTATACGAGATATTTTAAACTGTTTGTGAATAACTGTAGGGGTCTTTCGTTGTGTCTTGGAGAGTATGATGTTTATGAAGTCCTGAAATGTAAATTGACATTAAGGGGTGAATTCACAAATTCTGTAGATTTTATTAAAAAGCATGACTAATGAATGGTTCAAAGCAGTAATAATGAATGGTAGTGGTGCTACTATTGCAATGACAAAGGATTACACTAAAGAACAAACTTACATAATGCTAACCCTTCTCTACTCAATGACAATGTTTTAGTAGCTTGTACCAATCTAGCTAAGTTCTGTGCAGTACATAAGCTAAGCTGGCATGTTAGTGAAGTGCAAGATGTTAGGTTAGACTTACTACATACCTAGTTTATGATGTTCTGAATGAGACCACATGGTGTATGTATGGTACCCTACTACATTATAAAGTTGTGACATTGACATGAGGTCCAAATAATTAAGTAATAAAGGAATGGGGTTTTAAGTTGGGGTCATATTTTAAAAAACAAAAAAAAAAAAAAAAAAAAGGGGAAAGGGAAAGGAAACCGAGCATTTTTTTTTTTAATTTTTTAAAAAAGAGAAAATACGTGGCGGGGGAAAAAAAAAAAAAGGTAAAAAGGAGAAAGGGGAAAAAAGGACAAAGGAAAAATGGAAAAATGTTGGCCCAAAAAATGAAAAATGGAATAAAATGGGGAAGGGAAGAGAGGGGAGAAAAGGATCAAGGAAAGGGATGAAAGAAAAGGGAAGGCAAGAAAGTAAAAAGGATAAATATAAAAAAAATAGGAAAACAGTAAAACCTTTAAAATTGATAAAGTTATTGAAAAATTAAGAAATCAAAAAAATTCAATTACAAAAGAGGAAATTTTAAATTTGTACATTATTTTCCCTAAAAATTATTTTATCAAATAACTAAGCTTTACCTGAGATTTTTATTTTAATAATTTTTAAAAAAAAACATAAAAAGGGGGAATAAGAATTTTATTTAGAAAAAAAAAATACTTAATTTCGGAAAAGCTACCTTTGGAAAGGGGAAATGGAAATTTTTAAAATTTAAACACTTGAATGGTTTATTAAACCTAATGGGGGAAAAATTAAGAAATAATAAAAAAATTTAAAAATAAAAATTATTTTTTAAATGTAGCCATCCCCAAAATGCAGGGGACCTAAAAGAAAACCAAAATTTTTTTTTTTAAATTTAAATTAATTTTTTTGGGAAAAGTTATACCCCCTTGTCCCCTTTTTATTTTTAACTGGGCTTTGGGGGAAAGTTTTTTCAATTTCCCAAAGAAACCGCCAAAAAATTTATTGTTGGGAAAAATGTTATAAAAAAAAAAAAATAACAAAAAATAAAATTTATTTATAATAAAGGTTAGTTAACTTTTAAAAAGTCGGGAAAAAAAAATAACTTAAATAAGGGTTAAAAATTGGTTTTAAAAGAATGGGTAAGTAAAAATTTAGATTTAAAAAAAGATATGGAAAAGCTTTTTGGTAAAAGAGTTTGGTAGTAAAAAATTGGATTCATATAGGAGAACGGTACAAAAAATAAAAACAATTGGTGGGTTTGTAATTAGATACCAAATGGTATAGCTTTTGCATCAATGAAGGAAAATTTAAGGAAAATGTTATGAATAAAAAAGGAAAAAAATTTGAATAACAAAAATTTAAAATTGTGTGAAAAAATTTTTGAATGCTGTGATAAGGAGAGAAAATTTATAATTTGGCAGGAAAAAAAATTTTAAAATAATAAAACACATCTTAATTTCGAAAATTATTTAAAGTTAGGACTCAAGGGAATAAAAATAAAAAAAACCCCTTTGTTAGGCAGAAAATTTTGGGAATGGGTTTAATTTGTCCCAATGAGGGAAAAATTTGGGTTAAAAACCATCCTATTTAATGTAGGAAAAAAAAAGAGGGTAAGGAAAAATCCCAATGTTTCCATCTTTTATGGGGACGAAATACACTTAAGGGGTGTCGAACATATAAGGAAACGAAAAATGTATATTACTTTAAATTAATATAAAAACTTTCAATGCAAAAAATTTTTTAAAAATTTTTGGGGAAAAATTGGGATAGTAGGGCTTTATGTTATAAAAAAATAGGACACTGCAGTTTTTTACCAAATTCCCTTAGGTTTCCTCCAAAAAAAAAATTTTTTAATAAAAGAAAACCAGAAAAGTGAAAAAAGTTGCCGGAAATAATAACTTTTATTAAAAATATTATTATTATTATTATTATTATTATTATTTTTATTTTATTATATTATATTAATTTTTTATTATTGATAATTTAATTTTATAATGATTAAGAAACTTGCCTAAATAAAAATTATTTAAGTTTTTTTTTACTAAAAATTTTAAATAGTTAAAAATTTTTATTTTTTTATTTAAATTAAATTAATTTTTTAAAAAAATTTAAAGAAATTTTTGGGGTGGTAAAAAATCCCCCAAAATGGAAAATTTTTAAAAAAAACAATTTACAAAAAAAACCTCAAGTAGAGATTAAAAAAAACAAAAAGGAAAAAAACATATTTCCCCCTATAAAAAGGTAATCCCTGGGGCAAAAAACACGGAATTTTTGCACCCCCCTTCACCCAGAATAGTTTTTAAATTAAATCAAAAAAGAAGCGCAAGAAAAAGGGTATAAATTCACATAAAAGGAACCCAAATTTAGTAGACTTTGGGGTCAAAAATTTTAAATCTAAAGAAGGCCAAGCCAAAGGGTTTAAAGTTTTGTGGTAAAACCCCTGGGAAGAACCAGTAGGGCCCTCAGTTTCCTTTTTATGCAAAAAACCCACTGGAGCAACCATACCTTCTTTCCTGGGTTAAAAATTTGGGTTGATATTTAACTTTGTTGTTTTTTGGGTTGGATGGAAAAAAATGACATAATGTAAAAAAATTACTATAAATGTTTTAAATTAATTATTTAAATATAAAAAATAGGGGTATACGGTTTAAAAGGAAGGGGGGGGGGGAAAAAAGGGCCCCCCGGAAGGAAAAACCATTTTTTGGTTCAAGAACCCCCAAATGAAGCTTTCCCTAAGAAGAAAAGTTAAAAAACATAAAAATCTTCCCTTTCGGAAAACCAACGGTTTTTGGGTTTCCGCGTTTTTTAAAAAGAAAATCCAACTATTTTAACATTTACAACGCCGGGTCCAAAAGTTAAAAAAGTTTTTTTTTCCCTAAATTAATCCTTAATAAAGTTAGGGGAAAATTCAAATAAAAAACATAATGGCCCACCAGTCCTGTGCTCCTTTGTGTTAAATTCCACTTATTAAACAAATAAAAACTTTTTAATGGGTATTTTATGACTAATCATCTTATTTTTAAAAAAAAAATTTTATTAAAGTTTCCAAACCTTGGAATGTGGAGAATTTTGGGCATTAAATTTAACACACTTACAGGGTTTTTTTAACCTTAAATGTTAAACAAAAAAAGATTTTACTAAATTTTATTTTTTCTGTGGCATCATAAATGATAAAAAAAGGGGGAACGATAAAATGGGGTTGGGGGAAAACGGGGGGGAAAAATCCTGGGCGTTGGGGGAAAGAAAACTTTGGGAAATAAGAGGGTTGGAAATATGTTAGGTAACGGTTTTTAAGTATAAGTTTTTCGGTTACCTAAGTTACTAGAATTTATTGCAGCTTGTGTAGAGCTTTTAATGTTCGCTGGGTCCCAAAAAATCGCAGGGCTTTTTCTTGGGGTTTTTATTTCCAGGGGGTCTAAAAAATTTTTCCAGGGGGTAGAAATAATGTGTATTTTTTGGGAACTTTCCCTCCGGGTTTTTCTTTTTCCGGGAGAGAAAAATTTAATTAAAAAAATAAATTTATTTGACGGGGTTTTCATTTTATCAAGAAATTAAGAAGGGGTCTGAACCACCCTTTGATCTCCGCTATTTTATTAACAAGCCCCTTTTATTTTCCATTTTACCGGGAGAGAGTTTCGGGGGCCCACCGCCCCCGGGGCCCGGTCTGGACCAGGCCTCCGGTGGATCGGGCCTGATCAACCAGGCTGTTTGCTGGCTGCACGAAAACCAACGTACGACCACACCCCGGCTGATCAGGAACGACTTTAGGTGTTGCCAGTGCCAGCTTGAAGACTGCCGGGGGTCTGTTGGAAACCCCCTTATGTTGTGGGGGGCAGTTGAACAGTCCGGGCCCCTGAATTTATTGTTGGTCTCTTAACGTGTATGACCCCCCTGCTTTTCTTTGGGGGGGATGTTGCATCGTCTGCCAAGTCTTTTGCTTTCGTATGAGTGATTTTCGTGTCCCCAAGTTCGGTACTAGTCCCTCTGGGTTTTTCCCGGGTGTTTAATCATTTCTTCCCCTGCGTTCCGGGAATCGGGTTTTAAAAAAACCCCTCAAGCGTCCCAGTAATTGAGGTTTTTTTTATCTCCTTTATGCGCGCGTAAAAATTTCTCTGTACATTTTTTAGGTCGGCAATTTCACCTGCCTTGGAAAGGTGCGTTAAGGTGAGAAATTCCAGCCTGAAAAAAAGTGACCTGAAGAGTGTCATCAGGGGGTTGGCCCCCCAAGTTTTAAAGGGTTCTCATTTTCCATCCTGTCATTTTTCTAGCAATGCGATTGATAAAATTTATGGTCCTTAAAGGGGAGTTTCCCCCGACATGACCCAACCCAGGTTTTTGATTTGGGTGTTTCGCTCATTTTGGGGCCCAGAATTTGTTTTGTCCTCTGATGAAGATTTAATTTCCTTGTTTACATATCTGAGTAATTGAATTTCCATCTTTGAACTTCATATTTTTTTCCCGCAGCCCACTAAAAGTTTTGGGTTTGATGTCCGCCACCTTGCAGTGTTGCAAGGGAAGACACTGTCATGCAGATTCGGGTGTCATCTGCAAAGGAAGACACGGTGCTGTGGCTAAATCCTTGTCTATGTGGGTATGAGGATGAGGAACAAGAGCTATACTGTCCTTGTGGAACAGAGCTTTTCCCCGTAGCTGCTCGGATTTTTACCTTTACACTACTCTCTGTTTTGTTAGTGGGGGAAATTATAGACCCATCGACCGTTTTTTCCCTGTTTTTTCTTTAGAGCTTTTTGTGCGCTATTACGCCATGGTCACACTTTTTCGAAGGCTTTTGAAA